GTCCTTGTGAAAATTGTTATGAATTAAAGCAAATAAGGAAATAGACCTGAGTATTATTATTAGCTGCCCTCAGGTTATTTGAGAGAATCTATAACAATCATTGCTTCCCTGGTGGCTCAGATGGTAAAGAATCTGCCTGACTGCAGAATCCCATGGGCAGAGGAACCCCGTGGGCTATTTAGCCCAAGTGGTTGCAAAGAGTTGGACAAGACTGAGCAACAAACACTTTCACTTTTCATAACCATCATTACAAATCAGTTCCTGCATGTGATAGGGAGAGAGAATAACTGCTTATAATATATGGGGTGCCCCTTTAGGTATACATGCCTCTACCCCCACTTCTGGTGAATTGGATAGTTTGTGTTTTATTTCAAACTATTTGAAATATCTTCCAAATTTGATTTAAAAAATTATTCCAGAAATTTTGCTGTGACAGGGTAATTTTATTTGTATAGATTATGTACTAAAACTTTCAATATATATTTATTGACTCAATAAATATGTATTGAATGCTTCCAATGGTCCAAGCAACCTTCCAGGCATTTAGGATTATGTGTGTAAGGGACAGGGGAGGGGCGGGTTGTGAAGGAGTAGGGGTGGGTAAGGAGACAATAATTCTGTCCTAGTCAGTTGAAGAAAACAGTTCTACCTATATAGTGCAAAAGGTACCTTATTTCTATATGTAACCATATTTTAATGAACTATGAAAAGCAGTCATTTAGGTTGATATTATCCTTGATGAAATAGAGTTCAGAGTATATTATACAGAATACATGGAAAAATATCAAAGAGAATAGGTTGAAAAAATATTTGGGCAATACAAATGACAAAGAATTAACATTATCATATACATTGAGCTCCTTCATTGATAAGTAAAAGACAATACTATAGGAACTTAGAGGCAGGGGTAGTAGTAAGCAATTTGCTGCAGTAGAAATCACTTGCCACTAAGCAAATGCAAAGAGGCTCAAGCTAGCAGTCAGATAAATACACTCCTCACCCATCAGATCTGCAATAATTTACAAGGTCAGGAACAATCACTACTGGTGAAATTATAGGGAAATGAGTACTCATACTACCAGGAAAATATGTAAAATAAAATTACTTTTTGGTATAGCAATCTTACTGTATGTATTAAAATTTTTAAATATGCACACACTTAGTGTCAGCAATCCCACTGCTGGAAATCCTTCTACTAAAATAAAAATGCTAACATAAAAGAATATATTTGCAAGTACCAGTACAAATAAGTTTATTGCAAATTATTTATGGTAGGGTAAAACAATACAAACTTGAGTGACTATAATAGGGGTAATTTTATTGGATAAAATATATTCATACCATGGAGTAGTAAATTCTATGAAAATAATGACTTTGATTTATATTTCTTGACCTGGAGACATGGTTATTATATGTTATGGTTGAAAAAAAAGCAAGTTTGCATATATACATCTGTATGTTCGCATATGTGTGTGTCCAAGTGTGTGTAAAATTTTACCTTAACAAATTATACACACATATATAAATTTGTGTGAGTCAGATAAAAGTGAGAAAGGATTTGCCCATTGGTTATTATTAATAACTTTAATCTTTGGAATAAAGATCAGTTAAAACAGTTTTTAGTCACTTATATCTCTCTAGTTTTGCTTGTTGTAACTAGTGTATCTTAGGAATAATATTAATAATAATAATAAAAATCACAGGTTACAGATGAGAGTTTACCATATGCCGGAGACTGAGATGGTGATATTATCACCTTTGCTGTTTTATAGATGATGGAATGAGGGGATAAAGTCACTTGTAGAAGACTGCACTCTTAGTAACAGACAGTGGGTGCCTGCATGCACTCTTGGTTGCTTCAGTTGTGTCCTATTCTTTGAGACTGCATGGACTGTAGCCTGCGAGGCTCCTCTCTCCGTGGGATTCTCCAAGCAAGAAATCTGCAGTGGTTGCCATGCCCTCCTCCAGGGGATCTTCCCGACTGAAGGATCGAACCCACAGCTCTTATGTCTCCTGCATTAGCAGTAATGCCACCTGGGAAGCCCTACCTTGGTAATATCAATTTCTTAAATTAATTATGTTAGAATGTTATGCCCGATGTCCGAATCCCCGAGCGGGAAGAGAGGCGGCTTCCAAGACAATGCAACACGCAAAAAAAGGGAAGTTTATTGCTGACTCAAGTCAGGGCTCCTGACGCAACCAACGCAGTGGTGCAGGGTCAGAGAGCCCTGAGCCCTCGCTGTTATCCAAATTTATAGGGTGTGCATAAGCAGTTGGTAGCTGGCTTAAGCGGATTGGTTACACGTTTGCAAAGCAATCTTATTGGCCCAAACCTTCGCGGGCTTTTTTTCAAACTTGGGCATTCGCGGGCTTTTTCAGCTTTCCCCAGATAGGTTCCCTCTTTCTTACTAGGCACATGTTGATTGGCTGGCTCCAGGTGGCCTGATAATCATGTTACCCCGGAAAACCAGGCCTACTCCTAATCTAGGCTGCCTGTCATGGCGTTAGCCCTGGCAGCCTTACAAGAAATAATCATGTTAGAAATTAATTATGTTAGAAATAAATTGGTTTAAAGGAAAAACATTAAGTTAATCACAATATAGATTGTGTATAGCTTAACTTAGAAAGGTCGGGGTATGAATGACTGTACTTTGGGAACTATGTTATCTAGCTAAACTTTCTCTTATGTAGATAAAATGATGGTGCCTGAGAAGTGATTAATGTAGGTCACCTGCCCCTGGTTTCATCAACCAGGGAAGACAGACTTTTTAAAAAATTCTGACTGGGCTGGGTCTTGGTTGTGGTGCACAGTTGCACAGTCTCTAGAGCATGAGGCCTCAGTAGTTAAGGCACGTGTGCTTAGTTTTCATATGTGAGACCTTGGTTCCCTAACAAGGAATCCAATGGGGCCCCCTGATATGGGGGTGTGGAGTCTTCACCACTGGACCACCAGGAAAATCCCCAAGACTGACTCTTAACACAGGGACTAGAACCAAACCCAGACAACTTTGTCATGACTATTTCGATATGAGCCCATTCATCTTTCCTAAAAATTACTTACTCTCCCCTAAGAGGTCTACATCCCTTCTTCCCTTTCCCTGCTAAGATGACATTTAAGTTTGAATTCTTAGACACTTGGAGTAAGTATTCATTTTGCCTGGGTATCTCACATGTGTACTTGAGGCATACACGTTAGTAACATTGTTTTTCTCTTGTTAATCTTTGTTTTATTTGGGGCGGGGGTTGTGTCTCAGATAAAAAAACAAGGGTAGGGGAAAATGATTTTTCTTCCCCTACACGATGTTTCATGAATTACCATTATTACCACTTATCTATAAGGTACAGAATATTTAGGACACTTTTTAGATCTATACTGAATGGATAAACAATTCTTTTCTTTAACTCATATTTAAAGCCAGTGACATTGCTCCTCTGAGGCAGGTTTTGCAAGGTAAGAAAAACTACAAGGAATGCCCTAATTCATAAGACTACAAAATGTCTTCCTTCATTCATCACAGTGAATTGGGGGAAAAAAAGACTGAAGGATAGACAGTGTATCTGTAAATGGGAGAAGCACTTTTGAGCTTTCTAAATTGTATAGGGTGGGGGAAAGGCTGGTGATTTAAGGATCTTAGGCTCATTTTTTAGGAAGGGGTAGACAATACTATTTAATTCTTTCCTCGAATTCTTTGTCTTGTTGCACTGCTGGCTTTGTCATCAGCCAATGTTGCAATAACTTTAACAAGCAAAGGAAATGCCAGTCAAGTGAAGCACCTGGGACCTCCTCACTCTTGTGACACGTCAGGCCTCAGGCAGGAGACAAAAATGCTCTAGGCTGTGTGTGAAGCCCAGGTTAAGAGGGAGTGGGTGGTTGTGAGTCTAGGTTTCTAAGGCCAGTGTTTATATTAGCGATTCACTTCCACCTTTGGTACATTTAATCAGGCATTATTACAATGCATGGCATCATCCTGACTTCAGGACTTTGGAGGAAAGCTGGGTCAGGAGGCTATTCAAGTTAATTTTACAAGATACTTTATGCAGCCAGATACGAATTTCACTTGCCCAGAAGCTTATGCAGAACCGTGACCAGGGCTGACCCAATGAGCTGCGCTTTTCTTCCACTCGAGAATCTTTTGAGACTCACGGAGTGAGAAGTCCGACAACCACGCGGACTATTCGGCAAGACGCAACGCAACCTTAAAGGACGGGTCATTGCTCAGCTCCAGCAACCAGCCAGAGACAACAAAATGGAAGATCCTTCTCCGAGGGAAAGCAGGCCTCGGATCTGAATCGCGGGGCCTGAGTTAGGGAGGTGAGCAAAGAAAGGAAAGGCGAAGGCGCAGCTCCAAGAAGCCGGGTTCATTCAAACCCGGAGGACAGCAAACCCCGCCTCCCCACGCCGCCGCCCGCTCAATCGCCGAGCGCTCCGGGTGTGAGCTCGCCCCGCGGGGAGCGGCTTGGAGCCGAGGAGGCGGCGGCAGAGGTGGTTTGGGCAGCCCTGCGCGGCGGATAGGCCCAGGCAAACAACACCCCTTCCCCCTCCCCCTCGCTCAGTTCAACTCCCACTCGGCCCCGGCCACGCCCTGCTGCCACCGCCCCCTCGGGCAGCTTTCCGCTCCGCGGCCGGGCCTCAGTCGGGGGCGGGAAGGAAGGCGGTGTCTTGGAGAGGCCATCGCGGCCACCGGAAACTACAAGGGCCGACAGCCTTTGCGGTAGTGCCCCGCCCCATTTCTCCCACCACTCAGCGCGCGTCACCCAGGCTCTCAACCAATGGGGACCAAGCCAGGGAAAAAGGGCGCCCGGGTCCGGATGCGCCTCAGGAAAGCCATGCTCCCTGCGCGGGGGCAGCGGGCAGTTCACCGGTTGCGCCGAGTCTTCTGTGGCTCGCGCGCCCCATTGTCCGCTCCTCCCGCTTTTCCTGAATGAGAACCCTACTTTTTTTCTTTAGTGGCAATTCTGAGGGATGCTGGAGCCGGCTTTTGAGGGGAGGGCGCCGGGAAATGAGTAGGGGGCGGGATATCCTGAGACAACAAGTTTGGCTGTATGAAGGGCCTACCGGCAGTGCGCCTGAGCTAGAACGCCGAGAGAACAAGCACCGCAGGGGCCACGAGAGGAAAAGAAAAGCTGCTGAAAGAATAACCCCCAGAAAGGGGGTGGAGAGAAGGCGGCCCCAGCGCCCCGGCCCCCGGCAGGTCGGCGGCCAATCCGCTGGGGGAAGGGGTGGAGAGTCGGAGGCTCTGGCAGAGAGAGGCCGAGGGGGGTGGGGAGTAGGCCCTGCTTGCGCCGCCCTGGCCCCGCCCCCGGCCCGCACCGCCGCCCGCGCCGCGCGCCGCCGCTGTCAATCAAGGGCGAGTCAGCAGGGCTCGGGCGGAGAGAGGAGCTGCTACGCCACAGCCCAGCGGCGGCCATTCGCGGAAAAAGAGGCAGAGCCTGTGCCAGCTACAGCCTCCTCCGAGCCACCGCGGGCGGGCGGGACCGGCCTCTCCTCCCGCCTCGCCCCCACCCCCACCCACCTCTATCCCAGTGTCTCCGTCTGAGGGTTTGTCCTGTTAATGCGGGATGAGCGGTACGTATTCTCCACCCCCCTCGGTCTCCTTCACCACCTCCCTCCCTCCCTCCCTCCCCAGACCCTGCTCGGTTCTTCCCCCTCCCCCGGGGCCGCTGAGATGCTTTAAGGGGAGGAGGAGAGGGAGGGAGGGAATCAGGGGGAGGGAAGGAGGGTTGTGTTTTGTCTTAATGTCTGAGAGAGAACAACCTTCTGGGTGTTGCTCTGGAGCCGATGGGTCGGGTTTCAAACCACGTTTTGTGATATCCCCCTCCTCCCTTCCCTCCTTCTCCCCCACCCCCTGCCGGTGTGCGTGGATCGCGGGTTTATGGAGATTAATGTTCGGGGGGAGGGGGAGGAGAGGGGAAGGGGAAGACGAATAATAATAATCCTAATAACCTGTTGTCGTGTACGGGGTGGGGGGGGTTTGTTGCAGATCAGAAGAAGGAGGAGGAGGAGGAGGCGGCACAGGCAGCGGCGATGGCTACAGAAGGAGGGAAAACCTCTGAGCCAGAGAATAACAATAAAAAACCCAAAACCTCAGGCTCCCAGGTAAAGGCAAACATTAAAAAAAAAAAAAAAAAGGCATCACGAAACGTAAGGGGAAAGAGGGAGTTATGCCCTTTAAATGCCCAGAAGTGAAGAACACAACAAAAATGTTTATCCACTCAAAGCATCTTTCTGAGAGTGAGGAAGTTAAATTGTAAATTCATATGGGTTTCACATGTTTGGAATATCGTGGTTAAAATTCCACCAGGAACTCAGACTACAAGAGAAAGGTGTGTGTTTTCCCAAGGGCGTTTTGAGTTTAGTAAAATAACACTTCAAGAAAGTTTGTTAGAAATTTCTTATTATTTATAGTTTATATTGTAGGACCTGCTTCCTTATTCCTGTATCTTATTGCTTTTGCTAATATTTAGGTTTTTTCCTTTTCTCGAGTAAGTTCTGAAATGTAGAGCTGTCAAAATAAATAAATAAACCCCTCCCAACTACTGGCCTTCACTAAATCCTCCCACTTTTTTTTCCCTCTCCCTTTTACTATCCGATTTTGGGTAGGACTCTCAGCCCTCTCCTCTGGCTTTACTGGCAGCTACTTGCAGCAAAATAGGGACTCCTGGTGAAAATCAAGCAACTGGACAACAACAAATTATTATAGATCCAAGCCAAGGATTGGTGCAACTTCAGAATCAACCACAACAGCTAGAACTGGTAACAACACAACTTGCTGGGAATGCTTGGCAACTTGTTGCCTCCACTCCTCCTGCTTCAAAAGAAAATAACATTTCTCAACCAGCTTCTAGTTCATCTAGTTCTTCCAGCAGTAATAATGGGAGTGCATCTCCCACAAAAACTAAATCAGGTAATTCTTCTTCTCCTGGTCAGTTTCAAGTCATACAAGTACAAAATCCAAGTGGTAGTGTACAATACCAAGTGATTCCACAACTTCAAACGGTGGAAGGCCAGCAAATTCAAATCAATCCAACGAGTAGTTCATCTCTACAGGATTTGCAGGGTCAAATTCAGCTCATTTCTGCAGGTAATAATCAAGCTATACTCACAGCTGCTAACAGGACAGCTTCTGGGAATATTCTTGCTCAAAACCTGGCAAATCAGACAGTTCCAGTCCAAATTAGACCTGGTGTTTCAATACCACTGCAGCTACAGACCCTTCCTGGTACTCAGGCTCAAGTTGTAACAACCCTACCAATTAACATTGGAGGAGTGACTTTAGCTTTGCCAGTGATAAACAATGTGGCTGCTGGAGGAGGAACTGCGCAGGTTGGCCAGCCTGCTACTACTACTGATAGTGGGACTTCCAATGGAAGTCAGTTAGCGTCCACACCTACCACCACCACTGCTTCTGCCAACATGCCAGAATCTCCCTCCTCCTCCACTACCTGTACAACCACTGCATCAACATCTCTGACCAGCAGTGACACGTTAGTGAGCTCAGCAGATACAGGCCAGTATGCAAGCACATCAGCCAGTAGTTCTGAACGCACCATTGAAGATTCTCAGACACCTTCTGCTACAGAGTCTGAAGCCCAGAGCTCCAGTCAGCTTCAGTCTAATGGAATACAGAATACACAGGATCAATCAAATTCTCTTCAGCAGGTGCAAATTGTAGGCCAGCCTATCTTGCAACAGATCCAGATCCAACAGCCTCAGCAACAGATAATTCAAGCTATTCCACCCCAGTCCTTTCAACTCCAGTCAGGGCAGACGATTCAGACCATCCAGCAGCAGCCTTTGCAGAATGTTCAACTTCAAGCAGTAAATCCGACTCAGGTGCTTATCAGGGCTCCAACTTTAACACCTTCAGGGCAAATCAGCTGGCAAACTGTACAGGTTCAGAATATTCAGAGTCTTTCAAATTTGCAAGTTCAGAATGCTGGGTTATCCCAGCAATTAACCATCACCCCAGTGTCTTCAAGTGGTGGCACAACCCTTGCTCAGATTGCTCCTGTGGCTGTTGCTGGTGCCCCAATAACTTTGAATACTGCCCAGCTTGCATCAGTGCCTAACCTTCAGACAGTGAGTGTTGCCAACCTGGGTGCTGCCGGCGTTCAAGTGCAAGGAGTTCCAGTTACAATCACCAGTGTGGCAGGTAAGTTACTCTACAGTCTTTCCCTTTAAAGATCCTTCTAAACTGTTTTTAGTAACGAGGTAGTGCTTTCCTTTGCTGACTCTCAGATTCGATGTAAACCTGTAAGTAAGCAGATGATCATCAAGAAGCTACAGTACACAGGAATGTCAGACTCACTGCCATAACTCCGTATTCATCAGTATGACCCATGTATGTGTACAGATTTTGCATTAGATTTTATGTATTTTCTAAAAATTTTTTTCTGCAGAGCAGACTTTCCAGATAAGAAACTTTTTATTTTTTTTTTTTTGTAATTTAGAGATCAAACTAGTGTATACTTGAGCTTTTCTGATAGAACGTTAGTCAAAGTGATGTTTATGTCTTATTTAAGGGAAAGTCTATTTAAAGCTGAAATAATACAGTTACAGATCTGCTGCAGTTTGAATTCTGTTCCTTCTCGCGCTTCTGCATCTTGCTGCCTGTGCTTGTGGATTTTATTATACAAAACTAGATGTTCATGCAGTTGAGAGATATGATTTTGAGTTGCACATTGTTTCATTAACTTTTATGTCTACTTTTCTGCTAAAACCAAGATTTGCTCAGGACTTCCAGTGAATAGTCCCCTATAAAATTATATTTAAATAAAATCTACAGTGGTTGAATTATTTATAGGAGTTTTTAGTGTGAAATAGGTAGAAAGCAATTAAAATTATAGACAGTAAAATGTCACTAATTTGAATTTGTTGTAAGGTGGTTTTAGAACTAGTTGTGAAGTAGTTATTTGTTACATATGTGAAAGGAAACTTTTGAAGTAGTTGGAAAACCAGTCTCATTAAGTGTTTTAATCTTTTGGGATCAGTCTTTTCACCTAATGCCTTTTGTTTTCTAGTAATTAAACACTTTTCATTTGATTATGAAAACCTAGTTGTGGTTTTGGTGTCTGATACTTAAGACCTCCTTAGTTAAATTATTTCTGTTTTGAGAATCAGAAATGAATAAACTTAACCACTTTTGAATAACTTTTCTTGAAACAAATTGTGGATAAATTATGCTAGGGTTCTTGTTTTACAATCACTACCTAAAGTAGAATTATATATTTAAAATTTAGAAGTTGTCAGATAGACCTCTCTGATTCAGGAGAATAGAGATTACATGTTTTATTTAGATACCCATTGACTCTAAGCCAGAGCTATCCAAAAGAATTTTCTGTGATAAGGGAAATGTTCTATATCTCTTCTATCCAGTATGTTAGCCACTAGCCACATGTGGCTATTGAGTATTTACATTATGACTAATGAAGTAGAAGAACTGAATTTTGAATTTTACTTGATTTTATTTAATTTTAATTTAAATAGTAACACACGACTAGTGGCTTTTTTATTGACAGCATAGTAACTAATCAGAGAGTGTTTTGAGTGTGGTACGTTTTCCCCTAAAAGTATTACAGCACAATTTCATGCCTGTTCCTATGGATCACAGTCCTAAGCTTCCTTTGTTTCTACTCTTTTTCTGAACATTGACAATATGTTATTTCAGAAAAATGTCTGTTTTGGGTGGGTTGAATGACAATTTGTATTGTCAAAGCAAAGGTTGTTTCAGTTATATTTCATCTTGTCTTTTAAGCATTAGTTAGTGAATTATGATTAATTAAGAGAATTGTATAATCTTTAGTTTTGGCTAGAAATGTTCAGTTTTTCTGTTTTCTGATTGATACCAATTATGACCCAGAGTTTTCCCTTCGCCTCTTGTGACGGTAAACCAGCATAACAGAGTAGGATCTTCTGACCGCCTCACATTCACTTGCTGTCCCGTGCTTAGTCACTCAGTCGTGTCAACTCTCTGCGACCCCATGGTCTGTAGCCCGCCAGGTTCCTCTATCCATGGGGATTCTCCAGGCAAGAAGACTCAAGCGGGTCGCCATGCCCTCTTCCAGGGGATCATTCCCAACCCAGGGATCGAACCCAGATTTCCTGCACGGCAAGTGGATTCTTTACTGTCTGAGCCACCAGGGGAGCCCACTTGAATGATACATTATTGTAAATGCAGGATCTGTTTTCTGGAATTGTAATTTTTAGGGGGTATGGTCAAGGATTTGGTCAAGGATTTCAAACAAACTTTCCAGGTTGTTGAAAATC